GGTTTACAGTTTCGTAAATTTGCAGAATATTTTGACCGTAATATTGCGTAAATCTTACGATATTGAAAACTTACGTAATATTTTAACCGTAATATCACATAAATCTTACGAAATTGTAAACTTACGTAATATTTTGAAATTTTTCGAAATATTATGCCATAAACTTTCGTAAACTTACAAAATTGTAAACTTACGCAATTTTTCGCGCTATAAAATTTCCTGATGTATCATTATTCGACTCACATTATTATGCTATAGGAATGAAAGTATCCAATCTCTTAGGCGCTGAAGCTTGGGCGCAGGACATTCTATACATCACGAAAATTTCCAATTAGAAAGCATCTGAGAAGTTTCTAGGAGCGTATGTGTTCCCACCAGAAAAGGGTCTTAAAAATAAGCGCCCTGTCACTGGTTTAGACTTTAGATCCTTGTATCCTAGCATAATTATGACTTACAACCTCTCACCCAAGAAGATAGTTTCAACACTTTCGGAAGTAGATAAGTTAAAGAGAGAGAATAAAGTGCTTTACAGTATCGAGTTCAAGTATGGCGGTAAACCTGTGCGAGCCTGGACCATACGGCATGGAAATAAATCTGATCAGGAAGGTTTATTTACAAAAATATTGAAAAATCTGCTTAATATACAGAATGAATTAAAGGCCCAACTTAAAGTTCTCAGAAAGAAAAAGGAATATATGGGGAAAGTTAAAAGTAAAATGGATTCAACTGGCAGATCTTTCCTGGTAGTGGACGCAATCAAAGATGTTCTATCCTCTGTAAAAAATACTGAGAGGCACGCAGAGATGACCAAGATCCTAAGTCCCTTTATTTTTCTGGAGGAGTGCTCTGATTGAGCTGATTTATCATATGATGATTTTATGAAAGAATATAGTTCTATTTGTTTTGAATACAATTCTTTAAATTCGAAGCAGAAGGCGATTAAATTATATATGAATTCGTTCTATGGTGTGACCGGCCAAAGTGATTCCCCGTTCTATACACTAGCACTTGCTGGTGGTGTTACTTCAGCTGGGCGAGAGAATATCAAACTTGTCGCAGAATTCGTGAAAAAAAAGGGCTTTGGGATAAAATATGGTGATACTGATTCCCTATATCTCACTTGCCCAGATTCTTGTTATGAGAAATGTGATCTGGCCTACAATGGCGGGAAAGGCACAATTTTGAAACTAGAGTACTGGACCGAAATGGTCACAATTACTAAGGGCGTAATGGAGAAATTGCGTAATAAAGTAAACAGTTTTCTTAGGCTAAAAACCAGATCGGGTTATCTCGAAATGGCTTATGAAGAAGTGCTATTCCCAGTAGTCTTCACTGGGAAGAAAAAATATTTCGGCACCAAGCATGAAGATGCAGTAAATTTCAGTCTGGAGGATCCTTTCATAAGAGGAATTGATACTGTAAAACAAGGCAAATCCCAGCTTTTCAAAACCATAGGGGATCGGATTATGAATGAAGTTAGGAATATCAACAACGAGCACTCTCTCCATAAAATTGTTGAGGACGTTCTTAGGGACGCTATAATTAATACTGAGCAATGGAATTTTGAACAGTTTATAGAGACTGATGCATGGAAACCTGATGTAAATAATATTAGCGTCCAACGTTTTATAGGAAGAATGAGAGAAAAATATGATAGTAAAATTCCGATACCAGGTGAACGCTTTAGTTATGTAGTAACCCATCCCGATACTACCTTCGATTTACATGGTAAAAAGTTAAAACCAACTAAAGGCGAAAAAATGGAATTCGCCGATGTAGCTAAGGAATTGGGAAAGGAACTAGATTTATACCATTATTTCGAAAAAATTATTATTGGCCTCTGTGCCCGATTTATCATGTATGACAAGAAGTATGAGCCAGAACCCTCAAGTCGAATCATGTGAATCGAAGACCCGGATGAGAAATATAAGCAAATTGATGACTACGCTCAAAACAAGGCCAAGTCATGGCTTGAGGGATTCATAAAATAAAATATCATAGTCAATGGTGTTACTTCCAAGATGATGGAATCTCGTGGGATTGCTTATAAGCGTGCTTACAGAACTGTGGTCAAAAAGGCACAAGAAATGTTGTATCAAAAGATAGGGTACTTATACGAAATATTTCATGGCGAATGGCTTAGCTACGAGATTTTCATGGTAAGTAACCCTATTGAGGTATTATGGGAGAAATTTATGAAATGCGCTAGGAAAATTTTAAAAGATAAAAACCTCTCGGTAAATGACGAAATGAAGGAAAAAATATACTCTGATTTTGCTCGATATCCTAGCGAGCTTGCAAAGTGTATTGAAGAGTATAATTTATTCTTTCACAAATTGGTCTATCATATGCATTACAAAGAGCATGTGTCAATTCCAGAAGAAATCGGACCAGTTTCATCCATGCGAAAAAATGAGATAATTGCTGACCTACCTTCCTTACCTCACATATCAGAAATTGGGGCACTAGATGAGATTAGTAATTTATGGTATTTCCATCTTGAGGATGTGACCGAGCCGGAGGCAGTAAAGCAAAGCACTTAAATAAATTATATTAAGTATTCTAGCGGAGGTATAGCAATTTCAGCTAAGAAAACTTATAATATTATTTATATATTTTTCTCGTGCAATAATACCGGCTAACTTCAATTTCTATCTTCGAACTTCTGACCTCCAATCATATAGCCAGTCACATGCGACTTAGCCTGACCTCAGATATGCCCAGAGATAATCATTAGTATTTTGCATATCAAAGTTTACGATCAGCCAAAAATCTGCATATTTTAAAGATAAGCTTTATTGGTATAATGGCTGAACTACGCGATCAAGTTTCCCAGTACATAGGCTTTGAACCTAACGAAATTTGTCTCCCGATCATAGAAGAGGACAAGCAGGTGTTTCGTAAAATAATAGTGGATCAGGAGAAAATGACGGATATTGTAATAGATGACTATCGATTTTTACTACAGCATGGGCATAATGGTAAGGGAGGTGAGTTCATTCATATTGGATGGTTACTAGCATGTACGGTGGCTGACGCAGAAAAAGTCTTAATAACCTTTCCCCCCGAAGATTTATCAAAAAAAGTATTAGACTGCATTCAAAAAAGATTCGAAGAAGTCCCACTAGTGCCAGTTCTTATATGGTAGATGATTAGGTATCATTCCCAGCCTATCTGCGTATTTTTCGTGAAAGAAATACCAGCCATCTTTTTTCCACGAATTTTACTATTTCCTGGCCATGAAGCATATAATCGTAATAAGTACTAGGGCAAGTATAGAATATATTAACATAGGTGACCTCAAGGGGCTCGTGATGATAGGAGCAGTTTCTGGTAAGGATACCGCTTCTGCGCCACCTACAGAAATTATATGGGACGGATGATTAAAAGTGGAAGGGGTCCCTTCAGGACCAAGTTGCGATGAATCATTCATAGGCGGGGTGGAGTATCCACTTTATTATCTTTCTTTAACACTAACTGGTCCTTGAGAGAACTATTTTCCTCCATCAATTTTAATCGTTCTGAAGACCGAATATCCAGCTTCCGTTTGTATATGCTATCTGACGCTTCTATCCCTTTTTCCATACATTCTATTGTATAATTTTTCGAATTAAGGTCCTCATTCGCTCATTTCAATTCAAGCCTGAGAGAATCGATCTCTTTGGGATCGGATGAGTTGGTCCCAGAGGAACCGTTTATTTGAGCCGGCTCTTCTATCATTCCTCCCATTACATCAGAATCATGAAACATCAGATCTGGTTTCAAGTCCTCCAACTTACCTTCCAATTCATGTATTTTAACTTCAAGAGAAAGAATCTGGACCTTATCATCGAATGAAGCTTTCTAGGCCAAAGTTGCCTCTCTCTTTAGTGTTTTAATATTTGATTTGAGCAATTTGATTTCGGCAGTATATTTGGCTTCAAGTTCACGTTGGTTCTTACAATGAGACTTTCGTTCAGAAATAAGTTGGGATCTAACTTTAGTAGTGGACGCGTTTAACTGGCTAGCTTTATTTTCAAACTCCTTTTCTCGCTCATTGTACTTATCTACCAGCTTTTCGCTGAGATCATTAATTTCGGCTTTAGATTTAATAGTGGAATATAATTTTTCTTTAAGCTCTTGCTAATATGTACCACCAAGTCGTTGTCCGATCCCCTTAAAGGAATCATTATCTTTATTATTGATATTTTTCAAGGTATATACATTAGTCATAGCCTTTTTTTTCGGCTTAGTTGCTAATATAAAAAAAAAATGTGTCTAAAAATTTCTGGACTGAATCTACCAAAAATATATCGATAGTACTGAATACACCGAATATACTGAATATATCAGATAGATCGAATGTACCGAATCTACTAAAAATAAATTGATAATATCGAATAAAAATCGATTAAATATCAAAATTATATCGAAAATACACCGATAATTTTTCGAAAGATTTTTTTTATATCTATCTGTAAAAAATGCTTCGGTATCTGCGTTCAGATGCGACCCCCCTATCAGCTGAAGATATTCAGGATATTATTAAAGCTAAAAATTCAATGAAGCAAGCATCAGAAGCTATGACTAACAAGTACAAAATATCATCACAACAGGTATATCAAATATGGAGAGGAGTCCATCCACAAATAGATCCTAAAGACATAAATCGATTTTCGGAAGAACCTGGTTCGCCTCAGCAAGCAGACCCTGTGGAATGTAATGTTATTTCTGGAAGTAAGGTAAAAAAGTTTGGAGGAAAAAAAACTAAGTCTAAATCCGTTCGTATCTCTGAATTACCTGTTATTCAGACACCACTAGCTTCAATAAGCTCAAAAAGTTTAAATATAAGCAATGAGGAATTAGAAGCATTTTGTGAGAAAGAAGATAAGAGAGGCGAAAAAATCACAGAAGAAATGAATAGGATACTAG